TGCCTTTTGACAGGCTCTTGGCTGGTCAAAGTATAGCTTTAATACACAGCTGAATCTCTATAATATATTCTTGTGGCCCACTACAAGTTTAGTTAGTATTGGAACTTATTCCTAGCAAATCAGGTCAAACTCGTGACTCTTCCTCCTTCTTTTCCCCCTTCTAAATCCTGTGTAGAAACGGGAGTGGGGGTGGAGGTGGGGTGAACCTCCATGATGTCAGAGCGTCAGGTCAGGTAAGGGGCTGGGGTCTGGTGCATTTTCCCATGTGTCCATGTTGCTCTTAGGAATGGACGAGGCTTGGTTCTTGTCCTTCACACTAGCACTTGAGGTACCTCTGTTCTTCCCACTCACTCTGCAGGTCGTGGTTGGTGAGTCCTTGACCTGACTGTAAGGCCTTCTTTGCACTCCTAGGCAAGGTTCTGGAATTCAGTGACGCTGCCTCAGGTTTTTTGTTTGTTGTTGTTTTTTTGTTTTTTGTGAGACAAGGTTTCTCTGTGTAACAGCCCTAGTTCTCCTGGATCTCGTTCTGTAGACCAGGCTAACCTCAGTCTCATAGAGATCTGCCTGCCTCTGCCTCCCAAGTGCTGGGATTAAAGGGGGGCGCCACCACCCCCTGCCCAGCCGTAGAGACCTTTCTACCCGCAGTCTGCAGAGTACAGAGGACCTCTGTGGGCCTGATGTGCTTGCTTTGCTCTTAGATCCGTGAATGAGATTATGTTAAGCTGAATCACTTGAGGAAATGTAACCACAAACGGTTATTTGATCAGTCTTTCCCTGCATGCAGCAAACCATACAATTCTTTTGGGAGAGTTTTTGTTTGTTTGTTTGTTTTTTACATATTAAGGCTTGAAAATAGCCGTGATCACCGGAGACTAGTAGTTGGGATTGCAATGATCTGAATAAATGGATTCTTTGAAGTCATCTCTTCTTCCCTTAGCTCTGTATCCCCCCCCCACATGTATTGCTTATAAATATCCCCAGAATTAATGACTCTAGCCCAAATAGCCAGTGTCCACTATTTCTCAACAATTTTCTTTGTGTAAAAGCATGAGGCTTTGACCATTTCTTCTGACATCACTGTCTCATCGATCCCAAAGTACATGTACATTTTATAAAATGTTTATGTGTTCTCTCTTGTTAATCAGATTAAATATAATTAGGTCCCTAGATCCAACCACAAAGCCTGCTTAAGAGTTAATGGAGGTTGGAGGGCAATTCTCTCTTCCCTACATATACCCCCAAACTGTCTTTGGACTTCATGTTTTCTTCTTTCCCTGAGTTGTTCTGGATGAACCACGTGAGCTCCTTTTCAGACACGGAGGAGGAATTGTCCCTTCTGACTCTTCCCTTTCACAGTTTCAGAAACATCTAAGTGGAGTGGGGGTGGGAACAGATTTTTTTCTGACTAAGCACATTTTATTTAAGTTTCTAATTTATGCCTGCAACTCTAATAGCTTAATGGCCCAAAGCCCAACACCTTTGACTCCAGGGCTCTACCGCAACATGCTCACACAATGGTGTGGGGAGGGTATGGGTCAAATAGCAGTGGCTGACACGTGGACACTGCTGGATGCTGCCAGCGAGAGCAGCCTGGCCGTCACTGTGGCCAGGGCCTGGGCCAGGTGTTTCCGGGGTCTTAGCCTCTTATTCAAGTGTTGGAATAAAAATGAACACAGGTAGCAAAGTAGCAAGGAAACTGCCTTCCAAAATGAAGTGATAGGACAGCTCAGAGAAAAATACCCTGTCAAGAGTGACAGCAGGCCACGGGAGTGAGAATATTCATTCTTGTATGGGGTTTTCTTTTATGGGGTTCAAGGAAGTCTTCCTTTTTTGGGGTTCAAAGGAAGGGGAAGTGTGGTTACTAGGCATAATTTAGGTGGTTTTCTATTTTTGATTGACAGTTTTCAGATTGTATAACCTTTTCTCCACTGAGCATGTCTCTTCCTGGAATGTATCTGATTTTAATGACATGCGTGCTCAATTATGAATATGTATAAGATGGTAAGTAGAGGATTCTCTCTAAAAGTTCACTTAGAGGACAGTTTTCCTTATTGTGCATGAACTCAAAACCAGTTCAGATCTGATCAGCTCCCCTACCTTTATAATCAGACACGATAGGAGCATAATTAAAATAGAATATGCACAAGTTTGATAGTTGTTAAGAGAAAGAAAAACTTATTTCATTGTTCAGAGTAGAGTGTGCATGCAAAGTGATGTGTGTGGTAGTCTTTTTTATTTAAAGATTTATTACTTGTGTTGGTGTGTTTCACCCATATGTATGTGTACCACATGCATTTGGTGCCCCATGGAGGCCAAAAGATGGTGTCAGATCCCCTAGAACTGGAGTTACAAATGTTTGTAGTCTCCATATGAGTGCTGGGAATTGAATCTGGGTCCTGCGGAAGAGCAGTCAGTGCTCTTAACTGCTGAGTGGTCTCTCCAGCCCACAGGTGGGCATCTAAGTTGCTAGGTTAATGGAGATATGCATGTACATAGGGCATGTAGGTAAGAGACGTAGGCTGTCAAGTGCATTATTATGAGTGTGTGAATATTCCAAGCCAAGTGGAGTGAGTCCCAGGGTACCAAGCTGTTCCTTATGCTTACTTACCTCATAAAGAGTTCCTTTCTGAGACCTCCACTCATTCGAAACAAGAACCTCAATTTATGCCACAGGAAAAGAATTTCAGGTCACGAGTATGAAGCAAACTTATATTAATAAAAGGTGGACCTGGAGAGACGGTTCAGGAGTTAAGAGTGTTTTCTATTCTTGCAGAGGACCCAAGTTCAGTTCCCGAACCCATGTTGGGCAGCTCACGACTCAAAACTACCTGTGATTCTGTCTCCAGGGAATCTGATACCTCTGGCCTCCACAGCCACCTGCATTCATGTGCACACATATTCCTACTCGCCCATGCACACGGTGGCAAATAAAATAAATCTCAAAAAAAGAAAAGGTTTTAGGAGCTGGAGAGATGGCCCAGTGGTTAAGAGCACTGACTGCTCTTCCGGAAGAGCAAGGTTTGATTGCCAGCACCCACATGGTGGCTCTCAACTGTTTGTAATTCCAGTTCCAGGAAATCCAGTGCACTCCTCTGGCCTGGAGTGGTTTTTAAACTCATAGCAGTCCTCCTGCTTCAATTTTCTATGTGATGGGATTATACACATATACCACTATACTTTGAAATTTTAAGTGTGCTAACATTAGTTATATGCACAATTTAGATGGATTTTGAAGTTATGTTTTTTTAAGATTTATTTTTATTTTATGTACATTAGTGTTTTTCCTGCATGTATGTCTGTGAAGGTGCCAGCCAGATCCCCTGGAATTGGAGCAGTTGTGAGCTGCCATGTGGGTGCTGAAATTGAACTTGGGTCCTCTGGAAGAGCAGCTAGTGCTCTTAACCACTGAGCCATCTCTCCAGCCCCAAAGTTACATTTTTCAAGGGATTTAAAATATTAAGGGCTGGAGAGATGGTTCAGAGGTTACCGGCATGTACTGATTTGCAGAAGAGCAGAGTTTGATTCTCATGACCTACAATGGATGACTACAACCACCTGTAACTCCAGGTCCAAGAGAGCTCTACACCTCTGACCTCTTCAGGCACCTTCAATGCCAATGTTGATTTATGTGTGTTGTGTGTGTGTGGGTCTACACGTGTGTGCAGGTATGCTCACTGTGTGCATGGGTAAGACTGGGGACTGATTTTGGATGTCTTCCTCTACTGCTCTTCATCCCATTTTTTGAGACAGGGTCTTTTGGTGAATGTGGAGCTCTCATTCATCCAGTCTGGTTGTCCATGGCATAGGGACTCTCCTATCTACTCCCCACATTGTCCTCCAGTGCTAGTGTTTCAGATGAGAGCTGCCATGCCCAGCTTGTAGATGCTGGGGACCCCAAGGTTCTCATGCATATACAGCCAGTTCTTACCCACTGAGCCCTAGCCCTGTCAGTGTTAATTTTTTTTTTTTTTTTTTGGTTTTTCGAGACAGGGTTTCTCTGTGTAGCTTTGCGCCTTTCCTGGAACTCACTTGGTAGTCCAGGCTGGCCTCGAACTCACAGAGATCCGCCTGGCTCTGCCTCCCGAGTGCTGGGATTAAAGGCGTGCACCACCACTGCCTGGCCAGTGTTAATTTTTATTATGACTAGATGCTTCACAAAATATATTTTAGAGAATCTATTTGAATTTTTGTTTGCATTTTTTATAAGTCAACAATTCTGAAGATTCAGAGATGGATACTTGTACAAGACTATGGTCTCCTCTTGTCTCTGCCTTTACTCCCTTAACATATACCATTCAGTCTATTCCATCCCCACAGCTCCCCTTAGAGTATAGCATTCTTTTTTTTTTTTAAGTTTTTCGAGACAGAGTTTCTCTGTGTAGCTTTGTGCCTTTCCTGGAACTCCCTCTGTGTAGAGGTACCAGGATGGACTCGAACTCACAGAGATCCGCCTGCCTCTGCCTCCCCAGTGCTGGGATTAAAGGCATGTACCACCACTGCCCAGCCAGTATAGCATTCTTCTTCCATGAGAGTGGAGTGGGTGAGGGTCACAGGACTGGGGTAACTCCTTATGTAGAAGATTGCAGTGCTTTCTCAGGATTTAATCTACCACCCCTACCTTGCCTTCTCTGCTACCTCTGCGACAGGGCTTCTCTCCTGGAGTTCTTCTCCCTCCTTTTGCTCTTCTGTCCCTCTCTTACCCTTTGACATTCCTTCCCCTTTGCCCCACATTCTAAATCTTAAACATGTTAAGAATTAGATTTACCACCCCCCCACACACACACGTTAGTGTTCAGTTGTGTTAGTTGCTGTAAAATTTTAGCTTGAAGAAAGGTGATTTAGCTGAGATCAGGCTGGACTTGAGTGGCCCATCTTAGTCTCTACTATTGTTATAACTACAGTCTCTGTGCCAGATTACAATTCAATTTTTAACAGATTTATTTATTTATTTGAATGTTTATTGAAGTATACCTATACACTGTAAAAAGCACAAACTGTAAGTGAAATTTTATATCTGCGTACTCCTGTGTAACCACAGCCCACACCGAGGTATTTTCAGCACCAGGCAGATCCCTCCATATCGTCCACAGTGATCTTCTCCAGGGCAACCTATAGGTACATTGGCCTGTGCTTAGAGCTTCCTAGACAAGTCCTCCCTTGTTTCATTTTTTGACAGTGTTGCTCTAGCTGGGCACTGCACTCAGCAGGGGAGGGCTGGGCACTTCCTTACCCTTAGTAGGCAGTGGTGTGACTCAGTACAGGGTTTGCATCACCTATTAACTTTTGTGGCTGTGTAACACGGAGACAATGGCCATGTCAACTTGGGAGTGTTACGAGGATCAGTATCTGTACAATGCTTCATGTAAATCTTTGTGATAAACAGCTCTATATTCAGGGCTGGCTCCAGTAGGAAATCATCAAATACCTATCTTAAACTGTCTGCTTGTGGGATAGATTTCTTCTGTTGGACGCTGTATCCGTGTGTAGGCAACTTTAAAGGGGTAAAGATTCAGTATGGCTCCCAGTTTCTGTCTATGGTACTTAGCTCCTGTTATTCTAGGCTGGCGGTGAGGCGGAACACTAAGGCCATGGTAACCTGTGGAGGAGAAAGCTGCGGAGAGAAAGGGATACAGGACGGGGCCAGGGTAAGAGAGAGTCTCCAAGGACACACCCCGGCCTTCTCCAACGAGGCTCTGCTTACTCTTCGCCACCTCGTAATAATGCCATCATATTGTGACTACATGAGAGCATTAATTCACTGGTTAGGGCAGAGCCCCCAGGATCCAATCTCTCCCGAAAAGGCCATCAGCTGACAGACAGCCAAGGTCCCCAGCACATGAGCCCACAGAGGGCATTTGAGATTCAAAGCACTACTTGGCACCCCCAGAACTTCATTTTAGGAATAAAGTTGCGCGGCTTAGGAGATCTGCAAGATTTCTTGGACCTTCTGGAATTAAATACTGCGCCTCTGGTTTGTTTCCTCTGATTTTTAGCAGCCCGAGTCACAGGAAGATTTGTGGGCAAATGGGTCAGCACGTTGTTCTTTCTCAGTATAGCGCCTTCATTTCAGTACAGCGTTTACTTAGCAAGCGCCAAGCTCCGTCATTCATGTTCCGTTTGTACCTCGCTCTCTCTCCAGGTGAGGCCCAGTCTCTAGGGCAATCTCACCGTGGCGCCATCTCCCTTTCAGGAGCATCCATTTCAGGATCTGCGGCGGTCCCTTTAAGGCCCTGGAAAGGGCCGGCTCGTCGGTTGGGCGGAAAGGCCACGCCCCCGTCACGTGTCCTTGGTGCCATTGGGCGGAGCCAGAGCCTCTAAGTTGCCGTCACTTCCGGCTCTCTGTCAGTCCGGAGCGAGCGAGCCAGCTAGAGGCTGTTGGACGGCAGGAGCGGAGCGTGAGTGCGCGGGGACCCCCCCCAGGCCCCATCTCTCGGGGCTGCGGCCAGGCCGACCCCGGTGTCCCCGCCAGGCTGCCGCGGACCCTCCGCTCCCCTCGGCCGCCACGGCCGCGAGAAATGGCAGCCGTGGCGAGCCTCCGCGCCCCCGCGCCGCGGGCCTCGCGAGGCGGCCGCGCCGGGAGCCGAACCGGGGCGGTGGGCGCGGGCGAGCGGGCTAGCGGGCGGGCGGGGATCCGCGAGGGGTGGCCGCGCGCACCGCCCAGCACAATGTGGCGGGGCTCCGGGCGGAGGCGCGGGCGATCCGCCTGGCGGCTGCGCTCGCCGACCCCCCGACCGGGACCACCGGCTCAGGAAGGGAGGCCTCGGGGACGGTGGCCCCGCCGGGCCGAGGGGAGGGGGGCGCGCCTCAGGCGACCATGGCCGGGCTCCCGGGCGAGGATAAAAAATGGCGCTGGCGCAAGGCCCTCCTCACCCGCACGTTCTCGGCGCCCCACGCCCCCTTCCTCAGACCGGTTGGAGCCCCAGCCCTCGCCGCGGGGCCTTGAGGAGCTTCCGGGCCGCGACCCCCCCCCCCCCCCCCCCAGGCGCCCCGCGCCTTCCCACCCTCCAGTGCCCTGCGCGCTGCGATGTTGTCTCTGCTCCTCCCCCACGCAAGTCACCCCTTTAGTTACCATTTGCTCGAATCACGAAGCACCCCCCTACCCCGGCCCCCCCCCCAAAAGCAACCTAGTAAAGCCTCATTGAAGTTACAAGTCAAAGTATAAAGAAAGGACTGGCTTTAGTTACCATGACATTGTGTTCTTACTGGGTAGATGTAGGTTAGATAATGACGTGGTTCTTTGAAATCATTTCAGTTCCCTAGACAGCTTTTCGTAATGGAAGATAGGTAAGGCTGGCAGTTTACAGATGAAAAATGGTTTCTGTTCAGGTTAATTCTCTTTTTCAAAATAGGTTTTTTTGGCCAGTTGCGTGAACAGCTAGCATGGGAAAGTAAACTAACTTGATTTGGGCGACTGGGTTGTGAAATGGAGCAGCAATAAGAGGAAAAGCGGATGAACCTGGTTATGAGCCTTGCTGTTCCCGCTGTGTTTACTCTTAATGGACTGACCAGTATGGTCGTGCTGGCTTGATTTGAGCGTTTTGGAGTTAATGGTCAGGGTTTGGATAGCCCACTTTTGCCTTGGCCTTATGTTCTGGAACATTGAATGCCAGTTTGGTCTAGAGAGCTGGGTTATAATTTTTTTGGCGTGGGAGGGGGAATCTGAAGTCTTTTTGTGTTGTGTTTATTAGGCCTTTTAGGCCATATAGAAACTAATAGTCTTGAGATGGAGAGAGAAAAAGATACTTTGGTAATTAGCTTTTTGCCATCTGGAATAAAAATCTTGAAAAGGAGTTAGGACATGCCTTAGGATTCCTTGAAATTTGGGTTAGATTTAAGATAGTCTGCCCTTCGTTTTATGGTTGGGCACTAAGTAAACAAGCGCTGGGCTGTGTGTCTCTCTGGTGAGTTTTGCTCTGCACATAAAGCCCTCAGATTTTACTTATTTACCAAAGTAGAAAAATGAGTGCAAAATACTGTGAACTGTGTCTAACATTGTGAACTCTGATTATTGCCTGTTATTTTGATAGTGTGGCCACAAAGTGAAAATTAGTGTATACAAATAAAAGATGAGTAATAATGGCAAGATTAATTAGGTATCACACTTTCATAGACAAGCTGTTTGTCTTATGTTGGAGCTACATTAGGTCTAATCCTAGCGTGAGTGGAATTATGTACATTGCTTTTGATTTTAAAGTGATTGTTCTCAGCTGCTTTCTTACAGTCTACCCATAAACTTTATAACCCCTCTAAAATCAGTTCTTAAAAAGACTCATTGACTTTGAGAAAGAGGTGAAGGAATGTGCACATGGCTTTTCTTTGTCCTAACTGGCCTCTGAGTATTTGGCTGTGCTTGTTATTTGCAGTTTACACATGTGGCCAGTGTAATGATTCCAGTACCACAAAATGGCAGAATGAGCCATGGAACTTCTTGGGTGTTTTTGTTGTTGTTGTTTTGTTTTTTGACTGGGAGAGAGCTAAGATGAAGGTAATAAAGCACCTTGTAAATTATTCATGTAATGTATTTTTCTTTCAGAATGCCTAAATCAAAGGAACTTGTTTCTTCAAGCTCTTCAGGCAGTGATTCTGACAGCGAGGTTGAAAAAAAGGTAACTTTTACTGTACCAAATTTGTAGTGCATTAATTCCTCTATAATGCTGGCATTCAGTTTTGAAGTGAAAGGCTTATTGGTCTTTTTAGATAGGTTTTGACTACCTCCAACCACCTCAGGTTTCCCTGAGGGCTGGGATTGTGCTACCAATGCTGGGTTCAGAATGTAAGAGGATCTGCAAGGGTATTTTTGTAATGGTAGATGACAGATGGACTGCTTGAGTGGAGTAGGAGCTTCAAAACTCATGTGCAGGCATTAAGTCAGACATAAGAGGTTGTCTTTGTGCTGTACTTGGGGTTCAGTCTGGGGTCCCAGTGCATCCCAAGCAAGTGCCCTAGCCCTCGGTTTACTTTTTATTTGTGACAGGGTCTCAATAAGTTGTCTGGGCTGACCTTGGACTCTTGTCTGCATGCCTTAGCCTCCTGAGTAGCTGTGAGCATAGGCCCAGCTCAGACTAAACAAATACTCTATTGAGCACCTTTAGTAACCCTAAAGCCACAGAAATGCTTTTTTAGACTCGAGCACTCGATTCTAATTAGGCCGAAGACACTACTTACCATTATTTAGAAATCTGTGTCATTCAAAAACCTGCTTAGTCTAGGCTGCTGAGGTGGCTCAGTGGGTAAAGGCTCTTGCCACCAAACTGACAACCTGAGTTTGGTCCCCGTTTTTCCTCATGGTAGGAGAGGAGACCAACTATACCAAGTTTGCCCTCTGACCTCATGCCACATACAAGCATCACAAGTACCACACACACAAAATAATAGCAATAAATCAGACTCCTAAAAGTCTGCCTGATCTGTAGGTAGTAAGTCCCTAGTGGGCTGCATGACTGAAGTTGGAATGAAAACACTAATTTTGATGGCTTTCTCAGTCATTGCTGCCCCCCGCCCCCCCAATCTTAGTTTTGGTACATTTTAAGTTTGAAAGTTACTTGCTTCTAGTAAATAAAGTCATCCAGCACAGCCAACACAAAATGACCCATTTTGTCAGAAAAAACGTTCTCCGTGGTAGGTGACAGCTGTTTTGTCAACTTCATTCCACTTAATTGATCACATCAGTGAAGTGTGACGGAGCAGCCCATCTTGTGGTCAAGACTTCCTTCCACACAGCTGTATCTTGATAGAAACTCATCTCTGAATAAACATTCATATCCTAGAAATTGAACAAATTGCATTCTTCCTTCTTTGTTTAGTTTTGTGGAAAATAGGTAATTAGTAGACCTATGGTTTGCAGATGTTTAAAGCAGCAAGCGGGGCTAGTGATGTGCAGTTGTTAGGGTGCTGGCCTAGCACTCAGAAGTGCTGTGGAGGTGGAAGCAGGAGGATCCGAAGTTCAAGGTCACCTGGGATACAGGGGGCCTGTTCTATGAATTTTTTTTAAGCAGCAAACCCCCCCCCCCCCTTTTCCTTCTTTCTTTCCTTTTTTTAAAAAAATTTTTTAAAGTTTTTTTTTTTCTTCCCCCATCCTTTGCACTACATAACAAAGGGGAGCTCTTTATAGAGAAATTTGGGAAAGCTGGAGCCTATGAATGTAAAGATAGAATATATATCATTTGTAAGTTGAAATTAGGAAGGCTTCAAACACCATACCTAGCTGTACTTGAAGAAATCTTTGTAAAATTTGTATCAGTGTAACATCTAAGTATGTTTATATAACTAATTTATATTGAAGTTATTTGCTGGGCATGTACCAGTCCACAGAATTGCCTTTTGCTTGCTGAGCTGACTTTTGTAGTTTGTTTCATCTAGAACAACTTGTAAGCATTTACATTAAATGCACCTGTGTTTTTCATTTGATAGCTTACTTATGTGTATTCTTAACCTAGCTTTATCAAATTTAATAAAGTAAGTTTAGTAACATTAAAATAGTTTGTATTTGTCCACTAAGAAGGAGCATGTCTGCCCTCTACTGTTTGGGCTGGGAGCTTATGTGAGTTTTTTTTTTTTTAGCTGTTAGCTCATTCTATGAATGAGGATATATAAAAGGCTGCTTCTAAAATATTATGAGGTTGAGTGCTAATCTTTGCTGTGGGATGGTCTGTATGTCAAGTGTGTTGCTGATTGGTCAATAAATAAATCACTGATTGGCCAGTGGCCAGGCAGGAAGGATAGGCGGGACAAGGAGGAGAATAAAGCTGGGAAGTGGAAGGCTGAGTCAGAGACATGCCAGCCGCCGCCATGACCAGCAGCATGTGAAGATGCCGGTAAGCCACGTGGCAAGGTATAGATTTATAGAAATGGATTAATTTAAGCTGTAAGAAAAATTAGCAAGAAACCTGCCACGGCCATACAGTTTGTAACCAATATAAGTCTCTGTGTTTACTTGGTTGGGTCTGAGTGGTTGTGGGACTGGCAGGTGAGAGAGATTTGTCCTGACTGTGGGCCAGGCAGGAAAACTCTAGCTACAAATTTTAACATATCACTGTCTATTTTCAGTGTTCTTTGTATTGAAGTTTTTGAGTTGTTGATTTTCAGTGCCTGGCATAAAATATCATCTTCCTTTCCTAAGCATGTATTGTGCCCCACCCCAAACAGGGTCTCATTACGTAGCTCTGGCAGCCTGGAGCTTGCTATGTAGATCAGGCTGGAAGCATACATTCTTGAAAACAATTCAGATTCCTTTTGGAATATACCAGGAGTTAGTAAGTATTCATATCTTAGTCATAGATATGTTGTTTTTTTTTTTAGGAAGTCACTGTGTATAGCCTAGGCTGTCCTTGATCTTCAGTTTTTCTACCTCAACCTCAGGGTTACAAGGCATACCACCATACTTTTTTTTAAGGAAAGCTTTTGGTAAATTTGATTTTCAAAAGTTGATTAAAAAATTTTAGGCCACTTCCCTTCCCACTTCCAAAGAAGTATTGTATGGATTCTGGGCCACAAAATCACTGTTGTAATATCTAAAGTATCTTTGGGGACTCTGAGAACAGAGTTTAGAAACAATTATTAGTTATAAGTGCAGACTAGATTCATAGTTAAATTTTTTTCATGTACATATTTTTCTTTTAATGAATCAAGAAATTTTTTTGGTTCTTTAACTCTTTAAAGGTAATGAAGTCTTTTGAGCTTGACATGTGTGTATTCTTGCCTTTTCTTTCAAGTTAAAGAGGAAAAAGCAAGTTGTTCCAGAAAAACCTGTGAAGAAGCAGAAGCCTGGTGAGACTTCTAGAGCTTTGGCATCTTCCAAGCAGAGTAGCAGCAGCAGAGATGATAACATGTTTCAGGTAAAGTTGGATTGCATTCACTCCAGTGGAAACACCCTTGAGTGATCTGAAGAACACCAGAAATGTCTTGATCTGATAGCACATTATAGTCTCTGTGTTGTGATCCTCTTGACTAATGATGTTTATTTATTTTTATTTTTAAAAAGATTTATTTACTTATATATGTATTTGAGTGCTCTATTGACTTTTTGCCAGAAGAGGGCATCAGATCCCACTATAGATGGTTGTGAGCCACCAGGTGGTTGCTGGGAATTGAACTCAAGACCTCTGGAAGACCAGCCATCTCTTTAGCCATCTCTTTAACAAATGATGTTTATTAACAAATGAATAGGAAGTCAAGGTAAATTGTTCAATTCTGGGCTATTAGGTAAAGTCTAGAAGTCTTTAGTTTTGCTATATTTAAACAATGCACATCTAATTGTTAGAGAAATCCAAAAGAAGATCTAGAACTATACATTTGGGAAGCAGATTTAAGTAGGTAGGTTTGAGTATTTGGCTGGAAAGTATAAATTTGATAGTATTTGAGAGAAATGGCCTAACTTAGGCTTCATAAGAAACAGAGGGCTAGGGATATAGTTTATGTGTAAAGTGCTTGGTAGCATGTTTAGGCCTTGAGTATGAATGTAAGCTGGAAAAAGAAAAGGTTGAATAGATAAAGTGAGAGATTTGAAAACACAGGAAGAGGCCTGGTTTTGCTTCACTGTTTAAGAATGACTTGTGAGATGAGGCATTGTAAACAAATGATGCTGTGAGATTGCTGAGGTAATTAGAGACTTTAATCTGTATTGAGAAGGAAGAGATAGTGATGGTTACAAAGACGGTAATGAAGAGTGGACCAGAGGACAGATGCCATGATGAAGAGGTAGACCTGATAGTGAATGCAATCACTTGAGGGTCTCTAGTAGCACCTGGAAATCTTGGCTGGGAACTATTCTTGTTGGAGTCTACATATGCTTGACTAAAAAGCCATACATCAGAGAAAGCGTAAACCAAAGAGAGGAGGTGGATGACAGTGTGTGAGTAGTTTTCAAATGGTTGATGAGAGAAGAAAGAGGATGCAAGTTGAGATAAAATGGTGAAAGAAAACTAAATAGACAGAACGTAGAATTAGTTACAGGCTTAAATCCTCTGACTTGTGTGTAATTTAGGGTCAAAATTTGTTTACTTGATAGAGAACATAGGTGAAAGTATGTGATGAGGAATTTAAAAAATGCTATTATTGCTTTGAGTGGATAATAAATTGGATGCTTACTGTGTTCTGTATTTCATTCAGGCTTTGCCAGGTTCTGGTAAGCCATGTGGAATGTGGTCTGTAACCTCATGGAATTTAAGGGGACCACAATTACATACACATGCATAGTAAAAATTACAATAAAGCCTGAGAAATAGTGGGCAGATTATTTGAGAGAGTAAGTGTGAGGAATCTCATTAAAAAGAAGTAGCATTTAAATCTTAAGATGTGAAGGTTCAGCCAGCTGTGCAAAGTGTGTGGACAAAGGAAGCATTTTCAGGAGCAGGAAATTGAGTTAATATCTTGAAGTGGGAAAGAACTGGGGTTGTTTATGAATTATAGAGCCTTTGTGGTGGAAGCCTGGAAAGTCTCGCTGAGTATCAGGAGTACTTAGTGAAGAGAATGAAGGGCCATTGGAATTTTACTATTAAAAGGCCTGTTAAAAATCTGAAGGGTTTTTTGAGGGAGAGTTGGGGATGGTAGCACTTTTGAGACTATTATAATATCAAACATGGCCTGGAACTCCCTATGTAGAATAGGCTGGATTTGAGTTTTTAGCAGTCCTCCTGCCTCCTCCTCAAGTGCTGAGATTATAGACATAGCTACCATGTCCAGCTCATTTCTAGCCTTTTACCTTCCTTTGCTGTTTTACATAGGGTCTCGTATTTAGGGTGGCTGTGAACTTGCTATTGTAGCTGAGTGAGGCTTTGAACTTGTGATCATCTTGCCTCTCAATCTCCCAAGGATGGGATCACAAGTGTGTGATACCACAGTTGTCTTGTCTCTAGATTTTTATCTTTCCTATTCTACTCCCCAGTTTTATAAAGAATCCAGGACCCACATTTTAAAGATTTTGTTTTGTCAGTTTTTTTTGGAGGGGGGGAATGGGGTTTATTTTTAAGGGATGATTTTCTCACTAAGGAAAAAATCACATTGGTTCCTAAATCTTCATGTGGAAAGGTTCCTGTGAATCCTAGGGCCTAAGGCCAATCAACAGGTGATCTTTTGAAAGTGTGTATCTAGGAGGAACCATAGTTCTTACTTTCAAATTGGCTTTCAGAGTCCCATTGATTGCACAGTACTAAAGGAGACCTGCATTTTTATTAATAGTAGTGACTTGATCATTTGCATTAGGAAGATAGATAAAGGATGGGGTTTTTGAAAGAGAAAACAGTAAGCCCATTGTTTTTTTGTTTTTATTTCTTTAAGTGACTATATATTTTCTATATTTTTCATTTTTATCAAGAAAATACACATACCCACACAGATAAGCAATTAATTATTTTATTAAAGATGGCTTCCTAACACTGGGTTGTGTACTAAAATGTCATTTTGTATGATTATTTTATAATTTGTTTTTCTATTTACCCTGGGTAGACATTTGGCTTTTTTTTTTTTGAGTCTTGGGCTACTAGGAATAATATTGTGAATAATCTTTTTGTTTTTTTGTTTTTGAGACAGGGTTTCTCTGAAACAGCCCTAGCTATCCTGGAAACTAGCTCTGTAGACCAGGCTGGCCTCAAACTCACAGAGATCCGCCTGCCTCTGCCTCCCAAGTGCTGGGATTAAAGGTGGGCACCACCACTTCCTGGCATGAATATTCTTAGTACAAGTCTTTATGTATGCTTTTGGCTAGGGGGTGGCGGGGGAGTGGGTGGTGTGTGTGTGAGGGGGTAAAAACCATATTTATTTGCTAAATCATAGCTATATATTTGACTTTATAAGAAACCATTATTTTCCAAGTAAGTTGTATTGGTTTACTCTGTCATTGGCAGTATAATATCCTAGGTGCTCAGCATCTTTGGTGTTTTGGTCTTTACATTTTATTCAGTTTAGTTTAAAATGTATGTATTGGGAATTCAAAGTGGTTTTATTTTGCATTGATTTTTGTGTATCTTTGATCATGTTCTTTGGCTATTTTTTTTTTTTTTTGTTTTTTTTTTTTTTTGTTTTTTTTTTTTTGGTTTTTCGAGACAGGGTTTCTCTGTGTAGCTTTGCGCCTGTCCTGGAACTCACTTGGTAGCCCAGGCTGGCCTCGAACTCACAGCGATCCGCCTGGCTCTGCCTCCCGAGTGCTGGGATTAAAGGCGTGCGCCACCACCGCCCGGCTCTTTGGCTATTTTTATGTTTTTTGGGAACAATGTTTCTATTCAGGTTTTTTTTTTTTTCTTTTCTTTTTTTCCTATTTAAAAACAAAACTGGTATACTGAGTTGTAAGGCTGTATTTTGGATATAAGCCCTTTGCTGTACCAAGTATAGTGATCTTTTATTTTTAGGCTTAGGAAAAATGACAAAAACAATGTAGTTTAAAAGGAGTCAGAAAACAACCCAGGAGACATAATGAAATGGATTGGATGAACACAGACAGGAGAGAGGCAGGCACCTGCTGGCCAGAGCCTTTGGCAGGCGTCAGGTCTCCGGCTTGGAGCCTTGTCCTTTGTCTTCTGCCTCTTGGTCTTTTGTTTTGTTTGCTTTTTTTTTTTTTTTTTAATCAGTCATGGTTAACATATCTGAAAATAAATCATATGTATCTATTAACATAGGTGTTGTGTAGATTTTAATTCAGTTAAACATTAGGGGTAAGATGATTATTGTTGCTGCTCAGTTTTGTTTCCTGTAGGCAATGACCTTGAGAACATGTTTGATGTTATAATAGTCTCAAATGTGCTACTCTCCCCTTTACCCCTAAAAAACTCAGATTTTTAATAGGCCTGAATTTCTCCAGTTCTGCCCATCAGATTATTATTTTTGTTTTAAAATATTTTCTTATTTTTTGGAGTTAAAATTATTACATAGTTTCCCCCTTCCCTTTCCTCCCTCCAACCCTTCTGCTCTCCCCTGCTCTCTTTCAAATTCATGGCCTCTATTTCTTGTTCTTAAATTGTTACAGCACACATACATACACACTCTTTCTCTTTCTTATATACCTAAATATATAAATACAATCTGCTTAGTCTGTGTAATGCTACTTGTTTGTGTATTTTCAGGGCTGGTCATTTGGTATTGGATAAATAATTGGGGTGCTCTTTGGGGAAGACCATTTCTTCTCAGCATTCCTTGGTTGCTTCTAGTTCTTTGTCTAGGGTTGTGGCCTTCTTAGCATTCATGCTTCTGCCTTAGCATGTCTATTTGTGTCCTTGTTCAGGTCTTGTTGAGGAAGCCACATGTGTATAGCATTTCTGACATTTCTAAGAGACACAATCCTACAGAAAACTTCTGTTCCTCTGGATCTTAATTTTTCTGTCCCCTCTTGCACAATGATCCCTGAGCCATAGATGCAGGAATTGTGCTGTAGAAGGATCAGTTGAACACAAGGCCTTTTTGGGGTGAATCTGTACCCGCTTCTCAGGCTCACCTAAAAGACCAAATTTCCTGTGGCTGAGACTGAATTAATGAATTTTTTAAAGTATGTGGTTAATCTTATTTTCTTTAAGGTAACTTACTTGAATTCTCTTTAAGGAAAGGCTTTAATTTTTAAGTTGTGTCAATATTTTCCTCTATGATTAATGCTTGTTTTCTTTTTTCGTCACTTTGCTTACCTTACCAGGTACAACATTTTTGCCAGTATTTTGGTGTAGTTTAAGTTTTCTTGTTGGTTCATACAGAATTCTCTGTATAATGTGAGATAAGGGTCAAGGTGCCCCTTGTTCAATTCTCTTTGTTAGGTAGACTTTTGTCTTAGTCAGTGTTCTATTACTGTGAAGAGACACCATGACCACAGCAACTCTTATAAAGGAAAACATTTACTTGGGGCTGGCTTACAGTTCAGAGCTTTATTTAGTTCATTATCATCATGGCAGGAAGCATGGCTGCATGCAGGCAGACATGATACTGGAGAGTAGCTGAGTGTTCTACATCTGGATCTGCAGGCAGCAGGAAGAGAGAGAGACACTGGGCCTGACTTGAGCTTCTGAAACCTCAAAGCCCACCCCCAATGACACACTTCCTCTAACAAGGCCACATGCCCTAATCCTTTCAAATAATGCCACTCCTTCTGAGTTTATGGGGACCATTTTCTTTTAAATCACAGCTGATCTTCCTTTGAATACCTTGGATCTTTTCCAAATAACTTGGTGAGTTTTTAAATGTGTTTCTATTTCTGGGCTGCATTCTTACCTCTTCACTGATGTCTATCTGCTTTAGTACCACATTGTCCTTACATTTACTGAATCTGGAAAGTGAGGACACTCAAAACACATAGTTTGTGTGAAGCCAACATTCTTTTTTTTTTTTTAAAGACAGCTTTTCACTATGTAGCACTGGGTGGTCTGGAACTTGCTCTGTGTAAACCAAGCTAATCTTGAACATACAGAGCGCTACCTACTTCTGTCTCCTGAGCCATTTTTCTTTTTGGTTTCTATGAGATTGACTGCATTAGGCTTTAGGCATCTCATTTAAGTTGAATAAAATAGTATTACTGTAACTCTATGACTGGTTCGTTTCACTCAGCGCAGAGCTCTAACATGTGACAGGGTTTTCTTTATAAAGGCTGAATAGTGTTCCTTTGCATGTGTAAATCACATTCTGTTTGTGTTTCCATCTTAGGATGAACTTTTGGGTTGCTTCTACTTAGCTGTTGTGAATAGTGCAATTAAAGACATGAATGTGCAAATATCTTTTGGGAGACCCTACTGCCAGTCTTTTTTGGATGTATGGTTATATATATATACCTCTTAAGTTTCAGTCAATGATAGAACACATATACAGTGAGGACACTACAGGATTGGTACCATAGTGTGTATGTTGTCTCACTAAGTACATATTGATGTTCACACAGGACTCACACAGGAGACTCTTCTGAGTATGCATTCCTCAGAGTATACCCAGTCTGTTAAGTTGTACATGAGAGTTATATATCCCAAAGTGGGTTTATTGGAACATGTCATGTCTCATATTTTTGTCAAAGGACATCCATTCTATTTACTTTAGTAGTTGTGTTATTTTATTAATAATATTCATAAATTTAAAAGTGAGACTGAAGGGAGATAGCCCAGTAGGCAGAAGTGCTTGTTGTACAAACATGAGTATCTGAGTTTGAATCCTCAGCACCCACATTAGGTATTGGATTTGTTACAGATGTCATATTCCCAGTACTAGGGGGCAGAGACAGGCAGATCCTGAGTTCTCTGTGTCCAACCAGCTTAGCCTTACCAGTAAGAGACCCTCTCAAGGCAAGGCAAAGAATGAGATACCTGAAGTCATTTTCCTGGATGTCATATGTAGACACATGTGCATGTTATCCCCCTATGTGGAAATTGGAGATTTGCTTTGTTTCCTTGTGTCTCTTTTAAGCAGCGATTTTCCCTTGGTTACAGTTGATTACTTATTTTCAGGACTGTAAGTGGTGTTATCCTGCAGCAAATTGTGAACAGCTCTCTATGAATTTTTTTCTTCCCTCCTTGGCTAGATTGGGAAGATGAGATACGTCAGTGTTCGGGACTTTAAAGGAAAAATTCTAATTGATATTAGAGAATATTGGATGGACTCAGAAGGTGAAATGAAACCAGGGAGAAAAGGTGAGGTTTCACTTCTTCAATTTGATGTTAATGGTGATTGCATACTTACCTTATTGTAGGGTGTGTATAGGTCAAGAATTGGACTTACTTAGTTGATCCTTTAATAATCAATTTGTAAAGAAACCTAGGAAAACAACATCCTAATGTCACTTTAAATTGATTGCTAACTTACTTTAACTTTGTTTTTAATTTTATATCAGTTCTGAGGCAGATTAGTTACTACTACTTGGGAAGTTGTAAAATGAGAAACGGAAAAATCCTGGGTTTAGTGTTTCCTTTGGATTTAGCTCTGACAGGCTGTTCTTTAGGACAGACTCCTTCAAGTGGGTCCCTGTCCTCTTACCGTTGGTGCTTCCCCCAGTCCCAAGCCTCTGAGCATGTAGAAGCACTCTGTCACCAAGTAGCTAGAAAACAGTTGTTGAACAACTTGTATTGTTACGTTTTTTGTGACAGAATATGGGACAGAAGCAGATGAGGGGAGGGTTTACTTGGGCTCAGTTTGAAGGCACGTGGCAGCTGTCATGTGGGGCCAGTCAGGAAGTGGAGAGAAGAGGGGCCTGCTGTTTGGTCTTCCTTTTATCAAGTCTGGGGCCTTAGGTGGGTGGTGCCATCCACGTTCAGGGTGGGTCTTCCTCCTTCAGTTGAACCTGTCTGCAGACATCCTTCTCGACCTACCACATGTGATTCTAGATTGTCAGGTTGACAGGATTAACTGTTAACTTGTCAGTCGTGCTCTAGGAGCAACACTCATGAGACCCATTGGCAAAGGCATGCACACACAAGTAGAGGGAGCTAGTTGGGAAGAGGAAGGTAATCAACCGGAGTAGCAAAGGGTACTAGAGAGGGGAGTGGAAGGTGAACATAATGAAAACACATTATATACGTGAATGAAATGTTATGGTGAATCTGTTTTTGGGTATGGTTATGCTGATAAACTCTTTAAAAAGATTAACCACTACACCAGCTATATTTGGGTAGTTTTATGCTCTAGGTTGATCTTGGGCTAATAAGGTATGAAGCCTCAGCGGGTAAAGAAAGGCACTGCTGCCAGGTCCGATGATCCCTAGCACCCAAGAGGTGAAAGGAGAGAAGGGATACTGCCTACACTGTTGTAAACTCTGTGGACAGGTGGGCCACAGATGTACGCATGTGTGCATTCATTAAGTAAATGACAGATTGTTAATAAAAGGAAAGAAAATGCTTCCTTCTCTAGCACTATTCCGCCTGTTGTTAAAAGTGGCACTTATTTCATGCAATTTTGGAGTTTGTTTTAAAAGCTTCCTTTTTTATGTTTGCTGTTTAATTCCTGTCTGAGTTTTCATTCAGGATTTTCCTAGGTGGCTAATGCCAGATTTCATTCTTTCAAACATTTACTGAAAGAACTCAGTTAGCTCAAAGCCTTTTCTACATGCTGCTCATTATTATATTCTTTGCAATTTCATGGTCCCTCAGCAGTTTTCTAAAAATATTGTTTGCTTATGTGTTGGATATTATGTTATGTTAATATGCTAAGGTTTCATATTATTCAGTTTAATATCACCCTTTGATGTGTAAGTCTTAATTACTGATTAAGAAACTGAGCCTAGAAAATGCAGCTAGTAAAAGTGAGCCTGGGCTTTGCCTCCTGATAACATGAATCCAGAGTGTACTCAAATCTATATCTGAACTCTGCATTCTACCATGTTTCTTATGAGTCGCTCTCTAGGGAGTTTCCCAAAGTGGAATGGATGCACAGAGCCAAACACCTTGAATTTTGGTGGAAATGTGGAACAAATGTTGGAACTGATAGGATGTAATAATGGCAGTATCTTATGCCAAATCTGGGTCCTGACTCATAGCCTGCACATATTTGTGAAAAATCTTTAAATTATCATTAGTTCTTATTGGTCAAAATGCATTATGCAGATGCACTATTGGAAGTTAAACTGGATACAAACTTGAACTGGGATTAACAAATGTAAGATTTTAATATCTCAATATAGATCTCTCACAAGACCTCAATATTCTAGTATTGTGCCATTCACAATGACAGTTTTGGGGCTGGTTAAGTAGCTTAGTAATAGAGGGTGTATGTGGCATGTGTGAGGTCTGGATTCTGTCCTCAGCACTAAAAAACCCACATAAGTAAAGTGGCACTTTTGATAAAATATTTGGGAATATCAAAATCCCCAGGGCAGCTTGATTTTTCACCTTGTATTTCTTAAACTTTGTTTAGGTATTTCTTTAAACATGGAGCAATGGAGCCAACTGAAGGAACAGATCTCGGACATAGATGATGCAGTAAGAAAACTGTAAAATCTGAGCCATATCAAACCTGTACTGTTGTAGTTGTTTTAATCTGTCTTTTTACATTGGCTTTTGTTTTCTAAATGTTGTTTTCCAAGCTGTTGTATATTTGGATTGCAGAACAATTTGTAAGGTGAATACTTTTTTTTAATGTGCATTATTAAAATGTTCTGAGTGAAGCTAAATGTCATCTTTATTAAAGAGAATTGCATTGTGCCCTCTACCTAGTGTAAAATAAAGTCAGATCATTACAATCTTAACTGTTGTAGCCTTTTTTGATCAAAAGACTAGTTACTGTTTAAGGCCAAAAGAACAACCTTTACAGGCACATAATTGATGCGGCCTTTACATTCAGAAGGATTTGTATTGCATTGAGCTTCTTAGAGGATTGCTTTGTGAAGTGCATACTCAGTCTCTTCCTTTCTAACTAAATTTGTTGAATTTTCCTCTCCACAACAATACTTTTTCTTCCGTTTTCCTAATAACTTACTATTTCATGTTCAATTTTTACATCACTCTTTACTTGGATATATTATGCTGGTTTGGAAAGTCAAACTGTCATTGTTAGTCTACTGTGTTAAATCTTAGCAGATAGTTGTGGTAACATGGCTTGTATGAGAACTCCAAGCAAGTGTATGTCATTACTCATAGCTCTGTGTAGGTGTTGCTTAGTCTACAGAACATAGTGACTTGATGTCTGATGAGCTTTCACTTAGTAAACGTATTCACACTGGGATGGTGTCTGTAAAGTCAGATGTTAAACTAGATTAGACTTTAGTAAAATTGTGAAACTTCCTGGCCTACTATTCTAATGAATGTGGATTATATGTGGACATGTCACTGAGCTTTACTGTCTTGGTAGGTTATGTGGACAATTTTAAAGACTTGGCTGTTTTAATCTGGACAAGAGACTTCTAGACTTCATGCTAACTAAGTTTGATGGACACTGTTCATTGGTTTTCATTTTAACCACAATGATAGACAGGCACAGATTTCAGGACTATTGCTCTAGTGAATAGGGCAGTGTTCCTTAGAGAAAGAGTGCCTACGAAGAAACTTCACCACACTGAAGGGACCTGGCCTGTGATGAGAAAGGGATTTTCTTGAAATTAAATGGTGCACATGATATTTGGTGACAACAGTATGACAGTGCTAGGTAGAACAATAAGTAACAAGGATGGTTTAAAGACATGTAAATTCTAACTGCCAGTACGCGCTGCCATATCAGAATTGCATTATCTTATTACCAGGTTTGGTTCCCATTGTCTGAACATTTTATAGAATTGTCAAGGATTGAATTTAAAAATCCATCTGCCTGGCCTCATATGATTAACCTGTCCTCCCACAGATACTCTTTAGGTAACTTTTTAGTGTGTTAGTTATTGCAAATTGATAAATCTCACTTATTTCTCCTTGATAGGTACCAAAGTGTTAAAGAAATATTGTATATATACCTTACTCATTCTTGAGGGATACGATACTCTCCTTATTTGGAACATAACATGTGCTACATTTAACATTTAACATTAGTTTTGTAAAGTATTATTTTGCCATTTAGAGAAAGGGTAGTTAGAACATAAAACCTCAATTTTAGTGTAGTTTAGATAAAGAGGGAATAATAGGTAAATTTCCTAGGCCATGAATTCAGGAGTGTATTTCAGCCATCTGCTTTGTAGAGATGGTGCTGTCATCTGTTTGTTACCTAGGCATTACTAGTTACTTAGCATAATAAAATCTCCATGCAGAAAGCTTTCTTTGGCATAATTTGTTAAGGTTGATAGCTAAATTCATTCACTAATGTTACAGAGTAGGTAGTATACAAGAGTTCTTGGACTTTTTCTTTATGTGTGTAGAAAAGGAGATTTAGGTTAAAAGAGTAGAGGCTAACTCAGACTGAGAGGAAAGGGTCCAGTCTTTCTATTTTGTGGTCAGACTCCTATCTCCTCAGTAAGTGTCTTAGTTTCTTTTCTGTTGCTGTGACGAAGAGCCCTGTCAAAAGCAACATGAGGGAGAAAGGGATCACTGACTCACAGTTCCGGTTACAGACCAATTTTCAAAGAGTCACAATGGCAGGAGCTCCAGACATCTGGACACATTGCATCCACAGTCCGGAAGCTGAGAGCAGTGAATGCATGCTCAGTTCCCTTTCCTTTTCATTTAGTCTTTGGCTTAGCCCATGAACTGGTGCAGTCCACAGTGGGCAGGTCTTTCCACCTCAAAGCAATCAATGTAATGCTCCAGACATACCTAGAGGCCCATCTTCTATATGATTCTAGATTCTGTTAAGTTGGCAATTAACACTGACTATCATAGTAAGATTTCCCCCAGGAAGAAGACTTGATATTTAAAGCATAAGTATCTTATTTGTTTTATAATACTGAAATAATTAGTATCTGCCCTCAGGTTTTGCCCTTTAATATGCTCAGTAGCAAGGCTTCCAAATGGGTTTTCCTCTTTATCTTTTAGAGTAAAGCAGCCTTTGGCTAATTTCTAGTGCCCTTGGCATTTCATTTAATCAAATCACTGAAAAAGAAAAACTATATTTTGTTTTGCCTCACAAATGCTAAAACCTTGAGAAATACTACCTCATTACCTAGTCAAGATCCTGGGATAACAATCTATTCTGTATAATATCTGAGAGACAGCAACTTAGGGAACATCATGGAGGAAAATGCATCCTGGCCTGGCTACAGAGGGAAGGAGAAGGGACTGAACATTTATGTAAGTGTTCCTGACAGGAATGTTAGCACAGTGCTTGCCATAAAAGCTTGAAAATCTTAAGAACCGTTGAGTTATATTTAGGTATCTCTTCTGGAATTCTTTGTGGTTCACTTTTTGTGGGAACTAATGTAGTGAAATACTAAAAATAATTTTTTTTTGAAGAAAGGTGTTTTTCCAGATAAATTGTAGTGTAAAACATGCATATAGTGAGAAGTATGTAATTCTATAATTGTGGAATGCCTGTATGCTTTGTTTGGTACATCTTCCATGGAGGTGTCAATGAACCTAATACTCCACCTGTGAATATTTTAAATGTTGAAATAAAAACAAGAAATGTACCCTTTGTGTTATCCCATTTTCACACACCTGAAGATGAATGAGTAATTTTATCTGTTGAATGGGTTTCAGTAGCAAATAACCTTTCTGTGTGAATGCTCTAGAATCTGTAGTAGCTTTAGAGTATTAAATCTGAAGGCCTGTGGGACTTGGTGTGGGCCTGTTCTTTCTACCCACTTGATCCAAATGGGAAAAAATGTAAATGCCTAGGTGTACAGAGCATCAAGTTCTTTTCATCCTGCAAATGCTTTACAGTCTGATGCCTTGTTTTGTGTCTTAGTCATTGTTTTATTGCTGTGAAGAAATACCATGACCAAGGGAACTTTTATATAAGAAAGCATTTAAATGAGGCTCACTTATAGTTTCAGAGGTTTAGTCCATCTACATGGCAGGGAGCATGGTGGCACACAGGCAGACGTGGTGCTGGAAAAGTAGCTGAGAGTTCTACGTCCAGATCTGCCAGCAGCAGGAGAAAAGACACTGGGCCTGGCTTGGGCTTTTGAAACCTCGAAGCCCACCCCTTGTGACACACTTCCTCCAAGAAGGCCACACCTTATCCTTCTCAAGTAGTGCCACTGCCTGATGACTAAGTTCAAATATATGGCCTGTGGGAGCCATTCTCATTCAAACCACCACAGTGTACTTATATTTTCATGATAAAATCTCATCCTTGTCAAGTTGTATATTGCATAGTTACATAGAGAGCTCATTTGCATTTCTGCTTAAGAACTTGCATAGGGCCGGGCGGTGGTGGTGCACGTCTTTAATCCCAGCACTCGGGAGGCAGCGCCAGGTGGATCTCTGAGTTCAAGGCCAGCCTGGGCTACCAAGTGAGTTCCAGGAAAAGGCGCAAAGCTACACAGAGAAACCCTGTCTCGAAAAACCAAAAAAAAGAAAAAAAAAGAACTTGCATAGGGATAAACTCATGGAGAACAACTTCAGACTTTTATACCACTTTCAACCTAAAACATGGACTTAAATGTCCAGTCAGGAGGAAAAATAAGTAGTACTTGAAATTTCTGTAGTATGGGTCGAAGAAGTTAATAGAATAAAAGGGATTTTGCAAACATGGAATAAATTGCATTAGATTATGTACTACTTAAGTCTATTGATGTCCATTTGGGTAAATATCTTGCCACATAGGTCTTTACCTCACCCCTCCTCCTTTACATAAGTTCCTCAGAGTGCATATTCTCTAGAATTGCTCTTATACTCATTTTAGTTTCGGATGAATAGTGACAACACTGCTGTGGCTCCTTAGAGTTTGCTGCAGGCTAGGGTACGGGTTATTTTCCTCTAACAGTTAAAGAATTAAGAGACACAAAAAAAGTCTGAATCAAGAGCAAAGTTTTATTGGTAAGCAGTATAGACTTTTGAGGTTGAGAAGGGTCCCAAAGCTGGAAAACCAGACAAGAAGGGCTAGGTTTTTACTTGGTTTCAAGTACCCACTCGTGGTGACTTCTCTTCTCTCCTCCATTGGCCCTATGGTGTTCATGTGTTCCTCAGGCATGGGACTGGGTTCCACATTGCTGATAGGGTCCTCCATTTTTGTATGTGAGCGTGGAAACAGCTGCAATGGGGTCCTTTTTCTCAGGGCACACATACATCTGACTACTGCTCATTAGTTGGGGTCCCCAAGCCTGCTTTATAGTGTAGTGGGAAGAGAGAAATTTACTGCAGGTGAAGGGAAATGACTTATTTTCCTTATTTATTGGCTTGCCCTATCCCCAGGGCCCATGGCTTCAGGTGATTTCTTTCCTGGATAACTTGTATTTAGGTGATCACAGTACTTCCTTTTTCCAATTCTGACAAAAATGCACTTAATTCTGAATTTCAATTAAATGGATACAATAACCTTTCTTGTTTTGGAAAAACTGGACCAAGTACTTCTACCATCAAAACCTAGAATACATCTGAAATTGTGTGTAGCAACTTTAAGTGTGTCCTGGGAAGTGCTAATGTCTTAGTTAGGGTTTTTACTGCTGTGAAGGGACACCATGATCGTGCCAACTCCTATAAAGAAAACATTTAATTAGGGTGGCTTGTTTACAGTTTCAGATGTTCAGTTCATTATCACCATGACCAGGAGCATGGCAGCGTGCAGGCAGACATGGTGCTGGAGCAACTGAGAGTCCTACATCTTGTGGGCAACGAGAAGTTGACTGTCACACTGAGGGAAACTTGAACAAAAGAGACCTCAAAGCCCACCCCCACAATGACACACTTCCTCCAAAAAGGTCACACCTCCTAATAGTGCCACTCCTTTTGGGGGCCATTTTCTTTCAAGCCACCCCAGCTAGGAAGTTCCAGGTTTAACCACCCTGTTGAAGATGGATTCAGCATTTGGCCAGATTTTGTTTTGTTTCCTTTTGCTGTGATTAAATACCCCAACAAAAACAAAGGAGAAAGGCTTTTCTTTTAGAGTTTTAGAGTCCATCATGGGGAAGGGAAGACATGGCAGCAGGTAGGGATGGCATGGGGCAGAAGTGGCAATCTGGTTGATCACATTGCATCCAAGGCCACGAAGCAGAGCAAGACCAGCAAGTGGGGCCATACTAAACAATGGTTTAAGTGGGGGGAATGTAGGGTAGAAGAGGGAGTTGAGGGGAAGACATAACTAAGGATGTTTGAGAAAGCCATTTGCAAGTATTGCTTCCTAAGTATACAAGCGTGTCTATATATAAGTTTAATTGGAGCTACCCTATACAGGTTGACAAGTCCAGTGCCAAGTATAGGATGCCTCCCCTTGAGTAGGTCAGAGGTGCCCCAGAGATGGCCCCCTGCACCTTCCCAATAACGATACAGGCTATTGTTCTTGGTTGCCCATCAGAACTTGATGGTAAGGCCCCATTGCTGAAGACACCACATACTTTGGTAGCAGGATGTGGGGAAATGAAGTTTGTATTGACCTGAAAGCTTTTCCCCTGCTGGCCAGCTTTGTAGTGCCAGAAGGAGCAATATAATAGGCTTCTGCAGGGAGAGAAGTCAACAGTTTCCTGAACTGTGAACTGTGGGAGCCACACTAGTGACCAGTGTGCCAAGGTAATGACCATGGGTACAGTAGTGATGCAGATGTTACAGGGGTAATCACCTGCTTTCTGATTGGAGTTAAGACCCAGTCCATTAGAGAAAATGTACCTGGTTCTGTAAACCTGGACAAGCACTAATGCCTAGGAAGTTCCAAGCCCCCAGAAATAGATGTATTACTGCTATTTTGCTCAAGGGTCACAGTAGCTAAGTACTCTAAATTTGCTTTTCCATACTCATAAATTAGTGCAGCTCTGTCCCCATCGGAGAAGTTTCTTTGTACAGTGGACTTTGGTAAAGGCAGAAACTCATAACTGATCAATACAGTGTCTGTGGGGTGCTTAGCCATAAATGGGACATCCATATAACAACTCTCTTCCCCCCAAGGCTCAGGGATCATCTTGGAAGAGGAGGCAGGTTGTAAAAGCTAGAGGTTAGGGAATACCACTGTGAAACCTTGTGGTCTGGACAGGACCATTGCACTCAGGGACTCAGCAGCTGTGGTTGCTGCACAAGATGGAGCCAGGCAGCATCCCAGGACAGAATGAGGGAGGGGCTCATTAGCTTTCATCCAGTAGCTGAGGAGCAAGCAGTTCATAGTTTCTGGGAGAGGGAGAGTCAGTTTTCTGTTGTTGTTTTTGCTGTGGGGGGCCTGCCACTCAGCTCCCAAATAAATCACACACAGGGGCTTATTCTTAATTATGAATGCCCAGCCCTAGCTTGGCTTGTTTCTTGTCAGCTTTCCTTAACTTTAAATTATTCCATCTACCTTTTGCCTCTGGGCTTTTCCCGTTCTCTTACTTCTGTAAATTTTTTTTTAAAGATTTATTTATTTATTTATTATGTATACAATGTTCTGCCCACACACATCCCTGCAGGCCAGAAGAGGGCACCAGATCTCATTACAGATGGTTGTGAGCCACCATGTGGTTGCTGGGAATTGAACTCAGAACCTCTGGAAGAGCAGTCGGTGCTCTTAACCTCTGAGCCATCTCTCCAGCCCCACTTCTCACTCGGTGGCTTGCTGTGTAGCTGGGTGGCTGGCCCCTGGAGTCCTCCTCCTTCTCTGGATACTTCTTTTCTCTCCTCCCAGATTTCTCCTGTTTATACTCTCTGCCTGCCAGTCCCACCTATCCTTTCTCCTGCCTCACTATTGGCCATTCAGTTCTTCATTAGACCATCAGGTGTTTTAGACAGGCACAGTAACGCAGCCTCACGGAGTTAAACAAATGCAACATAAACAAAAGTAACACACCTTAAAATAATATTCTCCAACAGTTTTCTTTAAGCGTGTAACTTCTGGTAAGTCGACCATGCTCCCATGGATGGATTGACACCCACAAGTAATCAGGTCAGTATAAACTGGACTGGGTGGGTTACAAAATACATGAAGACATGAAGTCAGGAGTAGGTTAGCTCTGGGAGGAGTTGGGGTGATATGATACGTACATACAAGTATGAAATAATAAAAACATTAGAAATGAAAAATCTCAAAGCCCTCCCCTGGTGACATACTTTAGCAAGGCTCTACTCCTAAAGGCTCTATACCCTCCTCCATAACACCAGCTGGGACCAATGTTCAAATGCATGAGCCTATGGGAGACATGTCATATTCAAACCACAACAGCTTAATTTTCCAAAAATACACACTGGTAAAAGAATGGTAAGAAAACCCTCAAATCCCCCTTCATCAGATATCCTGTTCAAAGTTTGTCTACTGCCCCAATGGCTTCTAGCAAAAGCTTCCAGTCTAGCATCAGGGGTCATTTGATTATGCTTTTCGATTTGGCAGTTCTTAAGTTTTCCCGTGACTTTTACAACTGTCATTTCTGAGATGTCTTCAAGTGGAGATCACTGGAGCCGAGGACAGTGGGGACGGTGGAGGGTGTTCAATGAGGAAGAAAGACTGGGGCTGGATAATAGGCTGTGAGGGTCGGTGTGGGATGTGGCCACTATGGGATATAGAAGAGTGTGG